GGTCATATACAAACTGACGTATATCAGAACCACTCATCAACTCCTGCTGAGAGCAGGAATGAAACATTGGAGTTGGTGGACAGCATGAATTCATATTTTTTACTGCTTTTCAATGAATTCACCTTTGATGTCTTCAGTATATAATACCGATATTGAAATGCTTCGCTTAGTTGCAAATGTGCCATTTATTCTAATTTGTATTATTGTTATACAGCTAATATATCCATTTATTTCTGCTAAGCTGTGCCCATGAACAGCAAGCCATACCCACTAATGATTTTTCAGGATATTGAGCAGCAGAATAGGCTACTGATTTTTTCTGCTACTAAAGCAATTCGAAACGCTTCTATATTTTTGGATGTTGTGATTTTTTAAGTCAAAAAGACCCTCCAGTAGTTTGAATATAATCATTGAATTACAGTCTGTTGCACCGAAAGTTATAAGAACACATTAGAATAATGCGACATTAATGTTGAACAAAGTGAAATGAAAATGAAACAGTGGAAGGGCACCTACCGATTGGGGAGGTTCTGAAGATGACAGTGTTGATGGATTTACGTCACTAAACCCCTCGCAAATAGCTGGCGAAGTTGTTATCATATCCTCTTCATGGCCACTACTTACTAATACTGATGACGGAGATGTAATCTGTAAAACAAAGCAATCTGTCTGTTAAAGGGTGAAAATATAAAAAAAAACTCAAAATTTTAAATTATTGTTGAATATATATAAAACAATAAAGTCGTAGCGTTGTTCAAGATCAGGATATTGACTTATCACATATCAAAACTTTCAGCTAAATATGAGTGTAAAGAAAGTTATGTCCAGACCAAAAACGAAGTTTCCATTTCGAAATTCAAATTGATCAAATTGATAGACACGAAAACTAATTACATACACAACTCGGATTGGGCAGAACAGAAGATTTCTGGTTTAAACTTTCTGGGAATCGTAGATTTGTATCAGTTTCTTTGTTACTGAATGAGCATTTCCTCTGACCTTCTTTATTCCCCGTTGATCTGTATCAAATTAGTAAAAGGAACAATCGAAAATCTTGTAAATACCATACGTTAACCAATCCATAAGAAAATCAGAACTAATCTAAAATTATTATCTTTACTACCTTTAGATGCTAATCAGAATCTTCCCTCAAAAAAATCGTAAATTCATTTTCCTGATATCAAAGAATCAGTAGCAGTATTACTGAGTCTGGCAAGTGATTCAAAATAAAAAGTTAGTGCAAGGTAATGGAATTTTCAAATAATTGTTTTCTAGTTTAGTGCATGCAAAGAGCCCATATCATCAGTTGGATTTCCGATTTTTTTAAGGATTGGTCTGAGTTTTAATCTAGGAATAATCCTTTCATTCACTTTCGGGAGAAAAAGAATCAATGGACTCCGGAAGTAGGCATATTGAAGTATAGGTCTTGCTCCGTGCTTTAAAAATGAATCTTAATCGTATGTTGGGGATACAATGGGACTTCTCTCTCGGAGAAAGTTATTTACAAGCTAAACCGTGCGTTTAAGCAACTGATCTAATTTTACAATGGACAATTAAAGGCTCATAGGTGATTATGGTTCATAATCCGGGAATTTCTAACTGTTAAAAGACCCACCTCTTCTGCCGTGCTTCTGCAGGAATATCACTAGAGACTTCCGCTGATGTTACAGCTGTTCGTTTCTTCAACATTTCTTCAGAACGATGTATTCTGCTAACAGGTAATGGGGGAGAATAATCGTGTACTCGTGCAGGGCGACGTTGGCGTGGCTCGCGTCTCTGCGGTATACGTATACGCAATGGTGGAACGCGACGTGACTCCTCCGCTGTAATTGTATTTGGACGCCGTAGCGGTTCCATTATCAAGTTAACACCCAGTGAATGTGCTTCACACACCTGGTCTATTAATTTGGCGATAACACCAGTTACAATGTCGTCCTGATCCCCTTCCTAAACATAAAAAGTATTTACAACAAATCATTCGTAGGAACGTAGAAACTCCAAACTAAGGTTGCAAAAGAAGATAACCCATTAATTGTTAAAGGCTTTTGTCGATAATATGTTAACATAAACATCGTGATTATGAAACATAAACATCCTCTGATAATCAAAATGTTGTGCAAAAGCTCAACCAATCAAGATGATTAACAATCAACAAATGGCTACTTACCTTTTTGGCGTCAAAAAGCCGATTATTGGCATCACAGGAATCATCTTCATCACCGGTTTCCACAATATGTAAACGTTCATCATCCTGCAAAACAAGTCTTTTACACTTTGCAATTTCATGGAACTTTAAGTTCTAAGAGAGTGGCTTCTTTTGATCATCTATTGCAACTACAAGTGGTTTTCCCATGTGATTTTTTAGCATCCTTTGCTTTTCTAAGCAAAGAGAAACAAAACTAACATCATAATCATCATCTTTTACGGCATCAAAAATGTCATCCATTTTCCTGGTGCTATTAGTTTGGGATCCATCTACAGTGTTATTGAATATCACCGACATACCCGAATCCAGAACTTCAATTTTCGAATCCTCATGCTGAAATGAATTTCATTTTGGATGAAATTAATTTCACAATAAATTACTGAAATATCACTCAAAAGATTTCGATAATAATCTTTACAAGCTGAATGTGTGACGAAATTCTACAACATATTAAGTCAACTGATAACTGGAAAATCAGAATTCCATCCAATTCTTTCTTTCATTACTGCTTCAGAATTTTATTATTTTTGAAACTCACCTCATCAGCTTCATTGCCACGACCATCACTGCAACACAGTGAGTGTGACACACCTGTTACACACGCTGTGGATAGTGATGCATTCTGCGCTGACTGAAATTTGGACAAAAAATGCATGTTATTTCTTGTTACGATATTCTTCAAAGAGAAGCCCCTCTAATAAAACTGATAATTCCTCTTTTTCTTTCATTCTTTGGGTTTTACTTGGAGAAAGAATATTTTATATCAAATTGACAACAATGAAGTTCATCGTGATGGGACATTGCAAGTGATGTACACCAATTTTGAGGGACATTTTTCTTCTGCAAATAATCTCATTAAAATTAAAATGCGGAGACTTTTCACTAATTGCACAATTATATCCATTCCAAATTCCAGAAAGAATGACAACGGAAATAAAAAATTAAAATCCTTACTTCTAAGTTCGAATCCTTCAATGAGGTTATCGATGAGCATAAGGTCAAGGGAGCATTCTTCGGTGATCCTGAGTCTGGTGTATTTTCACCGGAGACATGAAATGTAAAGCTAAAAGTAAATGATTACGACAAAAACGGAAATTTATAATAGTGAGGAAATAAACTGCAGTTAAATTAAAGCGCAACAAGTGATATTTAAAAACGCACCCATCAATCACGCATTGCAATTAAAAAATTTATCCATTTCAAAAAACTTTGACATCAAACGCCAATCAGTTTTAACAAAGCTTATTTTATTTAACATATCCCCATAGCGAGCTTCTCAAAACATAAAATTATCCTAGGCATGTCACATTTTTAAACACAAATATGAGCAATCAGTCCATTTCCTATTAAATCTTTGTTTATTTTCTTATTTATTCGAAATGACAAGCGTGAAATTATATGAACAATGAGTCTTCTACTTTCCGAAAGTTTGACAAGAAAAAAGGGAAAACCAATACACAAAAATCCACAAGAATCCCTACTTCTTACGAGGTTTGCCTCGCTTCAATTTGATCAGCGCTGCTCTTTTCCGTGGCTTCCCTTTTGCAGTCTTGGAAATTGATATATTTAATGGAGTTGGCGATTCTTCCTTCGCAACATGACGTACCGGTGTTTCGGCAACTGAATTAGCAGAAAATATTTTTCCTGCAGTAGAATTCACATTCAACCGCTTTCGCCCTCGACGGTAGTGATCAGGTGGTTTAGAGGCCCCTGTCACTTTTTTTGCTCAGAAACGACACTGTGTTCAGTATTTATCGCAATATCATGTATCACTGAGGCTTCATTTTTTGACTCATTTTCAACATCGTTTTCAGAAGACAACTGTAAGGAATTTATGTCATCCGAGTCCTTGCCGTCTGAAAAATTGAATTTTGCAAAGTTGATTTAAGAATCGAAAGATGGTTAGGACAGGATGAAAAATGCAAAAAAAAAAGATGGTTAGGACAGGATGAAAAATGA